AGAAAACTACTGTTTTAGTCGATCGTATACTGAGTGCAGTTTCTTTTTGAATTAAGAGGCAAAATTTTTGACTGAAGGCAGCTTCACCATTGTAAAATACGTGCAACCACTGGAACGGCAAAAAATTTCTATCAGCCTCGCCTCGCTCTTCAACGCTAATTCCAAACCCGGTTAAAAAAAAGCCGCTAATCTGTGAAACGCTGTGAATATGTGTAGGACAGGTACGATGAGTTATTTCTATCATCATCTTAATTTTTCAGTGATTTTTTATGTGAAAGTTTTTACAAGAAAATTTACGTGTAAAGTAATGGTATTTCACAAGTTGCTGATTCTTCAGATTTTAGTGATGATGTTTTGGGAGGGTAATTTAACAACTATACCACAGAGCACCTGTAAGAGCAGAGACGTTCTTCTTTAGCAGTTATAATTTCTTTTGAGTGAGACGTTTTTTTCTATTTTCATTTGTCACACCACATTCCTACCACGTAGCGTGACATAAAATACTTGAAATACTCTTTTGCAGACATTACTTTCGACAGTGAGCATCCTAATTTTACTGATTGTTCCACTTTTTCTTTTCTACCATTGAATTTTCAACTTAGTTATGCGTTTTAAAATTGCTGAATGTTTGTGCACAGTTTTGATAAGTCAAACTACTGTGGTATGATTCTTATCCAATGATTGACCTATTTTTCATTAAATGTCTTACGGCGGAAAATTAAAATATTTCACTATTAATTCTCTCTAGATGTAAAACTGTTCTCACAGCTTAAGTTTTAATAATCAGAGATTATCTAAAGCAGTTCTTTATACAATTTTTTCTTTCTTTTTTTTTTTCCTTGATCTACTTTTTAAGGCAAATGAAATTTTTCAGAGTTTCAAGATCTCTGGATGAAGGTATGGATGTTCAAATTTTATTTACTTTATTTGCTATTTAGTAATGCTCATATTCTTTGAATTCATATTATATGGTAAAATCTCGCAGAAATGTTATTTTTGAGGATGGATAATACAAAGTTGAGGACTATTTCACGCACGGGAGAGTAGCTGTTTAGTGTATGTTTGTATACCGAACGATTTGAGAAAATCAATTTTCGTTTATCCAGACTTTCCAGTTAAGGAAATTATTCCCTATTATTTTGCCTATGCATTATTTAAAACAGAAGAAAAATTATTTCCCTTTCTTTACCGCTAATTTGTCTTCATTGACCACAGATGTTCTTGCAGCCGCAACTAGTCGCGAGGCGGTTCAGCAAGTAACATTTGTGCAAAGTTTAATGCTTTGTTGTCTTCAAATGCCTCGTAGACATTTTCATAGTCTATTAGCATCTTCTGCTCATTTAATTACAGCATTTGTTACTTCCGCTGATTTCCTTTTTAAGCCAGATATTTTTCAGAAATTCTCTTCTCTCAGCTTTTACTGTTCGTCTTCTGCTCCTAGCCATACAAAAAAGTCCATATTCTCACAATTTCTGGGCAGTAATTGCTTAAAACTTCACTGCTTCTGCGAACAAATGCCAAATTGCAGCTTCGAATCAAGGCCAGGTACAGTTTTGTCTGTAATTCCGTTGTGTTAGTTGTACTGTGAAATGCCTGGTTTGCATTCCTTCAGTCTCGTATTCCCACTCGTCATTTTATTTTATCGTGCTGATTACAACCGTGTTTATGCCATAGTTATTCTACAGCTCACTAGTAAACTAAACTGGTATTGCTTTTTACCTCCATGCGTGATATGCATCTGACTTTCTGTTGTTATCCTTAAATTTTGCAGGAGTCTGCATAGAGCTCTGTGTTGGCAGTAGGCATGTCGTCCCGGTGTATTAGAAACGCCGCATAATTGAGATTATTCCTCTATGGAGCCAATTAATACAACTTACAAAGATCGAAAAAAATCTGGCTAATTTTAGCTTATAAGGTCATTTTCGGGTTGATGATCGCCTGTTTTCAAGTTTACTGGCCCTACCGTCAATAGATTGTCAATTTGCAGCGCATCCGATCAAATACTACAGACCATTCCACACGTCAGAACCTTTTTTCATAGACGAAACTTTGAAATCCAAGATCGCTTTGTTGGGAAACCGATAATCATGTGAGAGGCAGGTAAAGAGAGGCTTCAAGGAATGAATTTCTAGTTTTGGAGGTGATTTTACGGGGGTAAAATCAGTTCATTTTTAACCGACATTCTCCAAAGTAATATCGAAAGGAGCTCAAGGCACTGCTCATAACTTTGTTAAGAGCCTCTATTTACGGAGCTCTTACTAACTGAGTAACGACATCTCAATGATTCGAAGAAGCAGTCGAATGGTGTAGCCTCTAACCCCCAAATTGAAAATTCATGTTACGAAAAAGAAATCTTAGTTTGGAGGCACATTCAGTTCCAAATTAAGCGTAGCGTATCAAGTTAACTAATGTGACTGTATGCTTGGAAGCATCGCCTGTTCAGTAGTGGGTGGAAGACAAGCGGATGAGCTATCACCTACGGTTGACTTGACTCAGTTACTTGCTCATCACACGGTTTTATAAATTTCTTGGTGGGACGTGCGACATCTGCAAGGAGAAAACTGCCAGTGTGAAGCTGCCAACAGTTGCATATTTTATACATTTATGCCTGAGGTGACGCGGAATTGGAACTGTGAATGTCGTCTGTGACAGTAAGGAGATAATGTGTAGTGTATGTTATATGCTTTCGGGGGTCAGAGGATGATTTACTTTGTCTACAAGTTTGTTGTTCTGTTTTGGATAGAGTTGCGTGAAAGATAAGGAGGTGGCGTTTGCACATTTTGATAGGATTTCTCTTTAAAATTTGGAGGACTGTTTGGGAAGTTGTCAGAGCAGAGTATGGGTTTTCCCTCTCATACTTTGACTTCATTTACAATTCGAAGTTTCCTTATTAGATTAATGTTGGATTACTACGGCAGCTAAACGACGAATGTCTCTCGAATTGAGAAATTATTTCAGGCTTGTTGTTTACCGTACTAACCATGAGAACTTCGAAGCCGATGCTGTGCACTTTGCTTTTTGTAACTGGTTTTTTAGTGTTCCACAGGCCTGTTCCATGGGGCTTTACCGATTCATTTTCTGAGAGAATTATCATGTTTTGCTTCGAACTCATTATGAGGTTTTCTTATATATACCCGGTAAATAGTTTTTTATTTCCAGCAGATAAGAAATAGTGAAACAAAAGATGGATATTTTAATTCCGTAGTCAATCCGGTTTTGATTATTTAGGCACCACTTTTATTTGCTGACCCGTTCGACCAACTGAATTACACTCGTGCTGTTGGAGACTTCTTGTTATCTTTTGTTTCTCCTGGCTCGTTGTTCGATACGGATCTGTTTATAGAGGATGTTTTATTTGATGGTGTTAGCGTTCGTGTCTATGTTCCCAGATTTAACCGCTCTAACGATGGTGCAATTGTTTTTTTCCACGGCGGCGCTTTTGTTGTTGGCAGTGTCAAGATGTTCGAATCAGTCACTCGTCAGTTGGCTAGGAATACACGCATGGCAGGTTTTTCGGACACATCTGTTATAGTTAAGTTTGAGTGATGTTCAGAATACAGTTTAACTGAACGCTGATTTGAACAGTTAGAGGAGTAGCTTAGATAAATAAAGAGAATGGCCAGTCCCTTGCAGAAGGGAATGTGAGTCCAAAAAACTCGTCGAAATGCCGTATTATACTCTTTATAACCTTGTCTTCTTATGATTTTTCTTCTCCTCGACGCTTACTGCTTCTCCTCGACGCCTACTGCTTGAGCTCATTGCGAAATGGGTATATCCAGATAACTTCGTTGCAACAAGCTTTGGAGAGGTATAGTGATGACTGTGGTGGGTCAACGAAAGTAGTAGGGACAGAGAATTTGGTTAAACTTGCCAAGAGTTCTGTTCTGTCATTATTCAGTGAGTGAGAACTCTGTAAAGCCAAATTAAATTTTTTAATTTCGTTTTAATGTTACTGATGTCTATTCCCTTTTCTAGTTGAAGAAATTATTTGTAGGTGGTTGTATCTGTAGATTATCGGCTTGCGCCTGAGTACATATTTCCAATTGGCTTAAACGACTGCCAAAGTGCATTGATTTATA